TTAAAGTTTAGCAACAAGTTCTAACTGGTCTGGTAGTGTCCCTGGGACAATGCCCTGCTGGAGAACAATAGACAGGAAACGGGGGAGGGGCACATCTTCTCATGTATTCAAAGGGGCAGAAAAAGTGTTTCAAAATCCAATAAGGCCAAATAATGCTTGCACAGGGCAAAGTCTCCCAAAGTCACATGGCAGGAGGCTGGCAATCAGTCTTCTCCAATGCCCAGTGGCAAGGCTGGTTCTGCCACATTATAGAGTTAAAAACACCATCCTGCCCCCTCCCGCCCATTGCCCAGCTCTGTATAGTAACATCTTAGCTTTACTCCAGTCTACTGCTACTGGCTCTGCCCCAATCTGCCTGCTTGGCTGACGTCATCACAAGTGTTGATCAAAAGCCAATCACAATGCTCTACCTTAGGAAAGTATTAGGTTGGCTAAGATTGCCAAGAAGGCAGATCAGGGGCAAAGCCAACACAAGCTAAACACAGCCATGGCCAATCAGCATCTCCTCATTAAAACAATGCATCTCTATGAGGAAAGTTCAGTGGCTCCATGAAGAGGGTGGAGACACTAAATATCAGTGTCGCCCACCGTGCAGCACTGCCCCAGGAATGACCTCTAGTAGCCATCTGAGGAGTCGCCAGTGGAGGTAGCTCTAGGCTGTAATGTAAACACTGCCTTTTCTCTGAAAAGACAATGTTTACTGCAAAAATCCTAAAGATAATCATTATACTCACTAGAACAATTACAATAAACTGTAGTTGTTCTGGTGACTATAGTGTCCCGTTAAAAAAATTAATTTGGTCACGCCCCCGATTATTAACTCATTAAGTCTAACTGGTATGAATGAGGATAGAATTTAGTAAATGGTTCCAATTCCTTCACCATGGAATATGAGGTTCAATAGTATCTGCCCAAACATCCTCTGAGCTGTGGAATGTGTAACTATTGTGACATATGAAGACATTCCAAAAAGTCCCACCCACCTATATACCTTACCCATAGAAGATAGGTGAAAGATTAAATATCAAGGCAGCATTGCCCCACTAACCCCTACTCTCATTTCCAAGGCTGTGCAGGGGTTAAGGGTTTAACACAGGGTACTGTACTGGTGGTTCCCAGCCCCTGGCAGTATATGTGCCAAGATTGTGTTTTGCCCACCATGGAACATTACTCCGCCAGTCCATATCCCAGCAGTTTGCACTGGTCTCCTTTAGTGCCAGTGTTGCTTTAGTGCTGAGGGGTACTGCTAAAATAATGTCCTTCTTTCTTTGAATTCCTTAAATGTAGATGATTAGTAGAATTATACAAGAATCAATTCGTAATCATCCTGTGCATGTGGAGGCGCAATGTGATTGGCAAGAAGAAACCAGCCATTTTATATAACAGTAAGCCAATGCATGAGTATGGTGGCTCGCAGAAGACCTATCCCAGCAATACCACTCCAATTTTCTACCAATGCTCACTTCCTTTGGGAAATATTTGATTGAATGGACTCTGCCACGCATGTCTTGGTTGGGTTGTATTGTTATATCAAAGGTAAACCTCTTACCACACATTCTCTACCGCTTTCATACACTCACTATCCAAAGCCCATCCGCATACTTCACATTCTTTTGATCTTTATTGATGAGTGTAACAGATCACCTGGCACCCCGACTGGGTACCTCCATTAAAGGATGCTCCTAGCGTTTCCTGAGGACTCCAAGCACTCTGGCAGACACCACAATCACCGAACCGGAGAAGCGTATACCTTCTCTCAAGCATATGAATGCTATAAACAGCTGAATAGGCCAAAAACCATACGGGGGGGGGTTTGGACTCCTAGCAGTCAAACTGGAACAGCATACAATAAATCCTCCCCCAATAATGAGACGACACTTCACTTTGAGGGTTAAGCAGGAACACCTGTGCTGGCACACCCAGCCTGGTTTTTATTACAGCCTTTCACATACAGGACCGCCCACAGGGAGGTATAAAACAACCAATCACATATCAGTTACATCCCATGTATTCCCTCCCCTTATCCTGAGTACACATACAGTTAAAACATACTTTCTACCCAACTTTCATAACTTTAAAACCATACATCACATTCACATAAAATTACATATTCACAATCAATCCATTCAGGGGAACAACATATTAAAAAATGGCATCAATCCGACCAGGGGTTCAAAAGTTAGTAAAAGTATCTTTTGGGCCCTGGCTGGCACATGGCTATCTGGCTCAAACAGGTTTTACAGAGCCCTCTATCCTGGAGACAATGGGGGAAAGTAATCCAATTATCCAGGGATAGAGGCAGACTCCATTGAGCACATGGTTGCAAAAAGACATAAAACACTTTAAAATACATAAAGTCACCTTTTACACATAACACACAGACATTTCACATATCCCCAGATAGCTGGGATCTGAGAGCACAAAACTACCGAATAGCGCTCAGATCCTATTCACACAGTTCAATTGCCATGGAGCCGAAGTCTTTAACTACACGAATGGGCTCCATGGCATAGCTATCTGGGTTAACACATTCACATAAAGTGTAGTCCATAGTCCAAAGGCAAGAGGCGGGCAAGCAGCCCCCTCCAAGGACACGTGGCGAGGTCAGTTTCGCCACATTTCTCCCCTTTTACCATCCAGACTAACAGGGTATCTGACCTCCTGCCAGTCAGTGCCCTGGTTAGTCCAGCAACCCACCCACAAAGCACAAACAGCAATACAGCCCACCCACAATAACTGGTTACTACACCTGGATAAAATAGCAATTTGTCCATGTCCAGGTGCCTCACCACGGCTGTGCGGGGGGCTGGTAGACTGCCTTGGTGGGTTGCTGAGTGGGCAGAGACCAGCGGTACTCTGCCCGGGTGCCAGCGCTACCACTGAAGTAGCCTGGTTGGAGCCTGGTTGTGGGAGGGGGAGACCGACTGTCTCCCCTCTGGATACACTGCTCTGTGGCTGGGGGACAGGACCGACCGTCCCTACTCCTGGTGCTGCAAGTGCAGAGACCACGGTCCCATCTGCATAGTTGTGTGTCTTCTCCCAGTCCAATAGATCTCGGGCCCCATGGTGGGTTAGGCTGCCGCTGGAGAGAGGGTGTAACAAGCTCCTCTCTCTGAACTGTAGACTGCCGCTGGGGAGAGGGGGTAACCTGCTCCTCTCCCTGACACTCTCTTTGCTGGTGGAGAGGGGGACCAACTGTCTCCCCTTTCAATATTTTGTCCTGCGGCTGGGGTGCGAGACAGACGGTCTCTGCTTCCTGGGGTACACACTGCCGCTGGGAGGAAGGACGACACCTTTGGCTCCCTGGGATACACACTGCCGCTGGGGAGGAAGGACGGCACCTTCTGCTCCCTGGGGTACACACTGCCGCTGGGGAGGAAGGACGACACCTTCAGCTCCCTGGGATACACACTGCCGCTGGGGAGGAAGGACGACACCTTTAGCTCCCTGGGATACACACTGCCGCTGGGGAGGAAGGACGGCACCTTCATCTCCCTGGGACACACACTGCCGCTGGGGAGGAAGGACAACACCTTCGGCTCCCTGGGACTCACACTGCCGCTGGGGAGGAAGGACGACACCTTCAGCTCCCTGGGACTCACCCTGCCGCTGGGGAGGAAGGACAACACCTTCTGCTCCCTGGGGTACACACTGCCGCTGGGGAGGGGAGACGAGGTTCTCCACTCCCTGCACTTCACCCTGCCACTGGGGATCTGGGCCGACTGCCCAGCATCCCTGTAGGGCCGGTAGAGAGACAGCCGTCCCATCTCTACCTGCCATCGGTGGGTCTTCCCAGGACCAGTCTATGAGGTCCCCTACTTCTGCAACTGGTAGTGAAGCAGTGGGGACCTCGGCTGCGTTTTCCCAGCTGTAGGTTGGCAGGTCTGGGTCCGCCACCCAGTTTTCCTGTTCTGCGTCCATGCTCTGCGGCTGACATGAGTTCAGTAGTTCCACATAATCCATCTCTAGCTCTCGTTCCATGGCAGCGAAACGGCGGATGTCTTCTCCCAGTCCAATAGATCTCGGGCCCTGTAACATCTCACTTCGGTAATGAAAGATAGCCCAGTACCGTGACTCTGCTGGACTGCCAAAGTTGACGTCTTCTGTTAAGGCCTTCCACAACAGGCCAGGGCTAGTGTAGTTCTCCCCCTCCGGTTGGATGCCCTCTGCCCTCCACGTCTCTGGCTGGACAGTGCACCACCACAGTGCCCGGTATGAGGCGTCAAGGCTCAGTTCCCGTTGCATGAGGTACTCAAGTTGTCTGACCTGCTGCCCTCCGGGTTGGTCTCCCAGAAGCGGCATCCGCCAGGCCATTTGTTCCTCCAACTGGTATGTGACACCAGGAAAGCGCTGCTGCCATTGATACTGGACTTCCTCCAGGGCATCGTACCATAATTCTTTCCGAGCGATATCTCTCCAGTCTAATTCACTTTCTTCCTCAGGTGTGTGTGTTGCCCAGGGGTCCACGAACCCCATTTTCCCAAATCTTTATGTAGACAGAGACGCTGTATGAACACTAGCGTCGCCTTCAATTTGTAAATCCACGAACTGTGTCTCTGAGCTGCTTTACCTCACACTAGGACGCCATCCCACCGCTTGCCACCAATGTAATGGATCGCCTGGCACCCCGACTGGGTACCTCCATTAAAGGATGCTCCTAACGTTTCCTGAGGACTCCAAGCACTCTGGCAGACAGGGGCGTACCTAGAGCATTTGGCAGCCGGGGCGGATCCTGTGCTTGGCACCCCCCCCCCCCCACCCCTCCCCAAAAACCTGTAAAAAATGTTAAAGGTTTTATTTCTTTTATTTTTACAATTTGTAAACTTTGCAAAACCGCTGTCAGCCCCTCCTACAAAACCCTTGTCCTGCCCTGCCCCTCCTACAAAACCTCTGTCCTGCCCCTTCTACAAATCCTGTACTGCCCCATCTACAAAACCCCCGCAACCCCCTTCCACAAATCCCCTGCTTATCCCCCCTTATGAAGACTCCTGTCCCAATACAAAACCCCCACCCCCTTCTACAAAATCCCTGCAGCCCCACACACACATTTACAGGCAGACAGTCACACACTCAGTTACAGACAGTCACACACTCAGTTACAGACAGACAGTCACACACTCAGTTACAGGCAGACAGTCACACACAGTCACAGGCAGACAGTCACACATACACATTTCCTCCGTGCGGCCAGTTTATCAGCTGTTTGCTTGAGTGAGCTGTACTGGCCGCACGGCACCCTAACTACCATGGGACAGTGTGCGGCCACAGCTCACACAGCTCCCTCCAGCCAGGGCCGGTACAAGGATTTTTGCCGCCCAAGGCAAAAGTAAAGTTTGCCGCCCCCATGTGACATCACAATGCCCCAGCCATATGATTTGCCATGTTAACTAACGCCAGTGCTGCAGTGCCGCCGTGTTTACATTAAAAGGCCTGCACGGACAGGCTATAGACACCAGAACCACTACATTAAGCTGAAGTGGTTCTGGGGACTATAGTGTTTCTTTAATGTGAGGTAAATTAGAGCTTAGTGCTACGAATAATATACTAGATTGCCTACTTACAACCAGATGAGGATGATGATGGGCTCTAGCTGCAGTCTGGCTCCACTGGTCTGGTGTAGAACAGGCTCTCTGGAGGCTGTTTGTAACTGTGGTCACAAAATCAATGTTCTGGGAGAACGGGAAGCAGCTCCATTTTTTGGGGGGCCCTTTACACAGCTCAAGGTCTGGGTCCCAGGGTCCACCTTCATGTTCCACCAATGAGTTTGTTCACAGGGGGTGGAGTGTGTAGGGATGTCCTGATATGTGTGTAAGGAATGCATTGTGTGAAATTGTGTTTGTATGTGTAAGGACTGCAAGGTGTGTTTCTGTGTATGTATGGGATGCATTGAATGTGTGTGAGGGGTGCATTGAGTGTGTGTAATGAATGCATTGTGTGTTTCTGTGTGTGTAAGGGATGCATTGTGTGTAACGGTTGCATTGCTTGTGAATGTGTGTCTGTGTGTTTTTCTGTGTGCAAGGGGTGCATTGTATGTATGTGATGAATGTCAATCTCTCCTCCCGCTCCAATTTCCTTCTCCTCCTCCCAATTTCTCTTTCTCACCCCCCTCCTAATTTCTCTCTTACCCCCGCTCCTATTTTCTCTCACCCCCTCCTTTCTCTCTCACCCACCTTCTTTTTCTTTCTCACCCACCCCCCCTTTTCTCTCTCTCACCCCCCCTTATTTCTCTTTCTCACCCCC